ATTTACACTTGCTCTCTTTTGTGAGTTTCCCCAGATGTCTGGTGGGAGAGCAGAAATATGTTAAGATTGTTAGTGGTATGAACCCGGGCCTTCTCGGCGGTGGCTCCGCGCCTCTGGAATAACCTACCTCCGGAGATTCACGCTGCACCCTCGCTGGGTACTTTTAAGAACCATCTAAAAACGTGGATGTATAGGCAGGCCTTCCCTTCCAGTTAATTCCTGTCCTCTTTTCTTTTTTATTCTTTTTCTCTTTATTTGATTTATTTTGTATTTTTCCCATCTTGCTGAATCATTTAATTAATTAATTGTTATAAATTTTTCTTGAACTTGTTATCCTTTATGTTGTAAGCCGCCTAGAGTGGTCGAAATGACTAGATAGGCGGGGTATAAATACAATAAATAAATAAATAAATAAGTATGTTTGCATTCATTATAACACTTTGGTGTTCAGTTGTGTTGCAAATGTTTGATGCACAGTTTCACAATAAATGCAAGCCAGTGTGATTTATAAAAATCCTTCCTCCATGTTTCTTCTCTCACCCCTTTTGTTTGGAGGCAGGCATGAATGGCAAGTCATTGCTGACCTGTGCTGCTTTTGATCAGAGGTGAATCAACACTGAATGTGTGCATAACCTGGCACTTGCTCCAGAGATTTTTCAGACGAAAGCAAAGTAAATAATGTATTCGTTTACCAGTTTACAGTTGTTCGCTAGAGTCTTGCTATTTTGGGTCACTCTCCAATGATTCCGTAGAGTTATGATACTAGCAGAGCAAGTATGCTGGCTTCCAAGAATACAAATCTTGCCTAACTGGATGCATGCATTTAAATTGCTGTTTGAAGACTTGAGAAAATAAAGGCAATGTTAGATGGTGTCACTTTTTAAAATATAAAGTATTAAATAAGGTGATAATCCAGCAGACTTTCTCAAAACCCTAAAAATCTATGAATACTTTGAATTTTTGATGTCTAAATCTGCACACTAAAAGTGCATTTTATTTTTAAAACATGCTTGTGTGGTTTGCAGGTCACTTAAGCTTTTGAGTGTACAAAAATCACTAAGTGGAATATTTCTTTGATGCATCTCATGTGTGTTGTACAAATTCTTTTTTGCAATTTATACAATAAATTTGTTTCAAAGCGTGTATGACTTATCACAGACTTTCTGTCCTGTGTTGTTCATTCTGTGTTGTATTAGAGTCAAATCAAAGGAGTGTTTTGGAATGACTGAAAAGATATTTAAGCAAAAGATTATGCTGTTTTGTTCACAGTGGTACTGTGATGGAATTGATGTAGGTCAAATTTACAGTGAATGGTGGTCTGCCATTTGCTTCATGAGCACAACAGTTCAAAACAAATTTAATGTAATGCAACCAGCCTGCCAAAACATTTTTACCTGTATTTCAGAAGATGATTGTGTGATGTGCCAGTGATGGAAGAGGGTAAAAAGCCAGAGGTCACAATACTTAGAGTTTTGCATAAAACCTCCACCTAAGCTGTGGTGCTGTCCAGTTGCACTTACCAAGTAGATAATTACAGTGGAAGAATAACAGTAATGTTGAGTTTCCTCTTGCCTAGATTTTAATACTGGAAATTCTTTCTTCCCTCCCCCAGAGTTTGGTCTATAAGAACTCTCCTCATCTTCATCTTTTCTAAAAGAACTGAAAGAAACAGTAAGTATAATTTTCGATAGGTTTTTTTCCCCCTGGATTATATAAATCTAAGCATGAAAATGTATGTTAACTTTGTGAACTTGTGTCAAACACCTTGTGGATGCAGGACCTTAGGGAAATATTTAACTGACTTCAGAAAATGTGCTCAGCCTTGTATTCAGCTATAAAATGGTAAATTATTATGAATTGATTGTGGAGATGAATGAATTATTTATACACACTTAAATGTGCCTGAAATCTGAACACTAAAGTGACTTCAGAATAAAGATTTAACTTTTCTATTACAAAGAAAGTTAAGTATAAATTATACCTCTTTCATACTTTAATTAAATACATAGTGTTTTAAATACTCTTATGTATTGTACCCAACATGGTTCTAAATGTTGCCATTAAGGAAGCATATATATAAAAAAATATATATAAGCATATATAAAAATATTTATAGCTATGAAGTATGGATTGTCAGTTGATAGCTGAGGTTTGTGGCATTCTAGAAGGTCCAGATTCCATCTCACCAGTTGCTTAATTGAGTTGCCAAACATTTACTTGCTTCCGGACAGTAATTAAAGAGTTGCTGCTGCAGTTTTCAGAGATGTGTATACCCACTGGCTTAGTATGTCCATGTTCAAGAATCCCAGTAGAAACTCTTAACTGCCAACACAAAGTGAGTGAACTTCATGCTGTTTTCCTTCTGCCTTTGTAACAAAGCAACAGGATTTCAGCCTATGTGCCTTCAGTATCTGGCAGTCTCAGTGTGTATTTCTCAGTTTATGCGGTGCAAAGACACAAGAGCAGGAGAATAATCTAACAAGCTGCATGGTTGATGTATGCTTCAATTATATCTGCTGTGACAGGACTAACCTAATGAATATGGATATTGGTTCTCGTAAGAGAGATATGGTGAGTCCAGCAGCTTTTAGAGGAAGCTGGTGTGAAATTCCTTTCAGGTAAACTGTTATTGGATGCTGCTTCAAATAGTGGAAAGGTCTCAGAAACCCTCTTCTGACATGATGCTTTTGTGCATGGTAGCAGCCCAACTGCAGGTGCTTCTAAAAGAACCATACTGTCCCATCTAGAAATGGGCATGAACTGCTCAGTGGATCTTGCTGGTTTGGATGATGGTCCAACATGTGTTCTGCAGTTCAGTGCCCCATCCCCTCTGGCAGGCGCCCACTCAGAGACAGCAGTCGGAGGAGGCAGGGCAAGGAAATTGGAGCGCTGCTTGTGAGTGGGTACCTGATGAAGAGAGTGGGACACCAAAACCATAGAACATTTGTTGGGCTGTTGTCTAAACTGGCATGAACTGCTAAACCAGAACGCCTCCTTCCAACGAGGTATGCCCTCCCTGTAAGATATTCCCAAGCCGGGCGGTTGAGAGTTCCTGACCCCAAGAGAGGCCTGAAAAGTGTCGACCAGAAATAGGGCCTTCTCAGCAGTTGCCGCACAACTGTGGAACAGTCTCCCACCTGAAATTTGCCTGGCCCCTTCATTGAGAACCTTTAAGAAATTATTAAAAATGTGGCTATTCAGACAGGCCTTCCTGGATTTTAAAACACCCTGATTCTATAGTATTCTCAGTAACTAACAACCTACCTACCACCATGCTTTTATTTTATTTTACTTTATTATGCTTTTATTATCTGGTTTTAGTGTAATTCATTTAGTTCCTTTTATATTTTGTTTGCCATTGCTGATTATTGTTATGTTACTGTTTTACCCTGTTTTGTAAACTGCCCAGAGTGGCCTTGGCAGCCAAATAGGCGGTATAAAAATCAATCAGTCAATCAATCAATTAATCAATCAATCAAACAAACTACCAAACAAACAGACAAACAAACAAACACACACACACACACACATACATACATACATACATACATACATACATATGTATCCATTTATACATTTATACATCTCTATACATACATTTATATAAACATCTCTACCCTACCTTTCTCCACCTAAAGTGGCTTACATCATTAAAAACACAATACTGAAAGCTAAAAGCATTAAATTCTTCAAATATTTAAAAATAATTAAATAAATATATTAAAATGTTAGGTAAAAGCATTACAAAATAATTTAAAAACAAGTCGTTAAGAGAAAGTCTGCTTGGAAAAGGCCTTCTCATTGCAGAAGGATTAACAAATTTAAGAGGTAATTGTCATCACTGGTGTTCTGGTGGATGACCTGTTCTGGGAAACAGAATTGGTGTGGCCCTGTTGGTTTCCTGGACTAATTAGAATATTTAGTACCACTGATGGTGGTATCTCTCTAGGTCTCCTTTTTACAGCCATACTGAGAGCATTGTTCTTTAATGCCTCTAGTTCTTCTTGGACAGCACGTTCCAGAAGATAATATTTGGTAACAGTTGTTCCATCTCATAACTATGTATGAGGGGGTGCTTTTGGGGTCTGGATAATCTGCCATTCTTTTTTTACTTGTATGAAATTATTGATTGAGGTTAATATGCAACCGGTACTCATCTCTCTTCCCTTCTCTATTTTCTAATTGCAGAAAGGTAGTAACAGTCCTAAACCTGTGTCTCAAATTACTAACTGATTAGACGTGGAGGAAGTGAATAGGGAGAATTTCTTCTCTTTCTCTTGTAGTGCTAGAGCCTGTGATCTTGAAGTGAAACTGATAGGTGGGAATTTCAGAACAGGTGAAAGGCAATGCTCTTTTCCACTTTTGCACTGAGCACACATCTGCACTTTGAAATTGACTGTCACAAGCAGAGTGGATAAAAATCAGTGATTTTTAAAATTCAGATTGGTTTTAACCATGATTTAAATTAAAAAAAATCTTTTTGTAAAATTTAAATTGTCAAAAAAAAAAAGTTAAATCAAATCCACTCTGACCACAAGTCATGATAATTGCAACTGACATGGTCAGTCATAGAAGTTAAATTTATTAGTGGCAACTTGATACCATAGTGATATAGAGATTGTTCTACCTCATGGCTTCCTGTGGGCAAATAATTGCCCATTTCATAACAAGATGTTGAATTAAACTAGTCTAATCCAGTACAGCTCTTTTTACATGACAGAACAAATAGACGATTTGTTCAAAGATTAGCATTCATCCTCTTTGTCATGAGATGATACGCCCAACAAACCTGAATCAGGTTTCTTGCCAGGTCTTTGCACCTGAATGCTCTGGTGACATTGGAGTTTGGAATGGAAATTTTCAACTAATGCTACATCACCTTTTGTGGAGAAGAAAGACTTGCTTGTGAATTATTAGTTAATTTACAGTTTACTTAACATCTGGTTGAGATTTCTGTTTCCCACATTGGACTGTCTTTTCAAAAGTGTTTAGAAACTACAGTTGGTTCAAAACTTGTTCCCCTGTCCTTTGGTTCCAAAGGAACATGTATCTCTAGTATTGCTTCATTGCTGTTTACTTCTCTTTTGTTTCCTTTTCTAATTCAAATGTGTTATTTTTGAGTTGTAAACCCACAGTGGTCTCCGACCAGAACTTGTAAATGATATTGTCCTTCCACGTGAAATTGTCTGTGCACTTTGATCAGCATGAAATACCCCGCTCTGTGTGTTCCTATTGACTGAAATGTGGTGGATGGACATGTAACAGAGGATCTTCTTTCTTTGATATGTAGCTTGCAGAATGTAATTCTGAGAAGGTTGCTGAGTACCAAGTGACACACCAAGTACCAGTGAGCACCCCAAGATTTGACTGTCTGGCAGGTCTTTGGACCATAAGAATTAATAAGGTCTAGGCAGTCAATTCAGAAGCATGGGCAGCAAACGTGCAAGGAGAGGGAAAGTGCTAGCTTGACCACTCTCTTTCTATGGTCCCATTGTCCTTCTCTACATGGAGGGTGACATGTCTGAAGGATAGATATTCTGCTGTCTATGGCCTACTGGATCTCCCCCCCCAAGGGTTTTGCACCAACTGGGCTAATATTAAATGTCATTCATTTCCCAAAGGACCCAATAAAAGAACATTAATCTCTGATCTGCATTAAAGGACGTGATAGAAATGATGTTCTAAAAGCTGTGTATTGGTATGGCACTGGATTCGTGGGTTAGACAATTAACTGGAGTTTCTTTTTTAGTAGAACTTAAGACAAAAGCAAGATACATAACGAATGATTTCTTAAATATGAAGTGTTACCATGGTACCAAGGAACTTGGTGTTAAACATATCTTCTAAATTGCCTTCAGTAACCAAGATGAAATTGCTGTTTTGACTTTAAGTTTGTGTGGGCACTCATCTTTGCTCGTTTAGAAAGGACAGATGAAATAATCTCTGTCCAGAGAGAGAGAGAAGAGGGGGAGTTTTGAAAAGAACCATTATCACTCACTCAGTTCACCATTTTTACAGCAACCAGTTGTGGTGAATTATGGAGGTCTTTTTTTAAAAAAAGTGCCAGACTTCATCAGCCAAGCTGCTATTATAACTAAGATTGTTTGGACCCATCTTAGGAGCTTCAGTGAAGCTCAAAAGGCAAAAATTCATGCAAAGCTGCTGATACTGATATGACACATAATAAAAATAGATATGAGTTTAAACAAGGTTCTAAACTTTAAAGTGTCAAAAATCTGTCCTCAAATTAGCATGTACTATCAAAGACTTAGTCCTGTATTGCTTGCCAATTACTAAATTCTGCATTGTCCGAGAAATTTTTGCTAGTCATTCCACTAATATAAAAGAAAAGTGATATTTTTGAGACTACATAAGAATGCCATCACACCTTTTCTTGCTTAAAACAATAAATTTTTTTAATGTGGGTGTGTTAATTAAATAAATACAGTAAGCTGTTTATTTTTCTTTTTCAAGCTCTCTGGACAGATCTGTATCAAAATTTGTAGAAGTCCAGAGCACAATACTACTTTAATACTAAATGGTTTCACAATAGTTAGGGTTTGTAGACCTAAGAAAAATTATATATTTCATAACTTACTATTTTAAATAAAAGACTTCTTATATACATAGATTATGCCAAGGGCATCACATTATTCAAACTGCAGAATGAACAGGTTGGAAATTGTTCAAAAGCAATGGATTGGTTTGAAACAGAAAGAGCTAATATAATACACAGTGGTGCTTCGACTTACGAACGTCTTGACTTGCGACCAATTTGAGTTACGACATGTAACACACAAATCATTGCCAGCAAGAATGACTGCAGACATAAACCCCTAAAATATTTTGCTTTTTGCTCCTTGGAAAGGGTAGGACGTAGGGGAACCCAGAACCTCTACAATCATTTATTGTTTAAAATTGATTACCTTATTTGCCGGCGTAGAGTGGACTGGTAGCCCAGATAGGCGGGGGGATAAATAAATAAATAAAGTATAAGATGACTTTTTTGGCCCAAAAACATGCCTCCAAGTGGGGGGGGGGTTGTCTTATACGCCGGGTGCACTTCAGTTGGGCCAGGAAGGAGCCGCCGCAGTTGAGTGAGTGACGCGGGGCTGCGCCAGTCAGAGAGGAAGGCAGGCAGGCGGTCGATCCGGACGGGGGGAGGGAAGCAGAACCGGCCATGCCTGAGCAGCCAGAGCCCACTGCCCCGTGCCGCTGAGCCAGCTGCCCGCTCGCCGCTGGAGAGCCACTTCCCCTCCTCCTCCTCCGCTTCCGTCGGCTGCTTCCCCTCCTCCTCACCCTCCTCGTCACCCGCCATGAACTTCCAGGGTGGGCCTGGGCAGAGCCCCAGGCAACCGCCACCAGTGATGCAGCAGAGCCGTCCACTCTATATTTTGAGTGGAAATGTTGGGGGGTTATCTTATACGTCCAGTCGTCTTGTACGCCGCAAATGCGGTATACATATGCATGACAGCATATACTCCAAAATCACAAAAGATTTTAATGATAAACCATGGCGTGAGGGAGACTGCAAGAACCAAACTGAAGTCATGAATGCCTCTGCTCTCCTGAGTAAATCATTAGTGGTTCAGGACAAAAGAGGCAGAAGACGTGGTAATGTTCTCTTGAAAAAATTTGACCACTATGGAGTGAAAATATCTTGTATCTAAATTCAGAATGTGGCTGTTTCTTAACTGTTTATTTGGATGTATATGACTTTTTCCCTTTGTACTAAAATATTAATTTTATTCTTTCCTAGATGAAGCCTTAGAAGACTTAAAATCTCAGAAGAAAAAGATAGTAAGTATATATACAGAAACACATTTCAATGGAATTTTACCTGTATGTCTCACTGATTTCACTATAATATTGAATTGGGTCAAACGGGACTTTTAAAATATTATATTTGATTATCTTTTTGCAACATACTTGTATGCAAGATTAGCCCAGTTCTTTTATGGCAGTGTATTTTTCCAAGTCCTGGAATTTCTCTCCATATTTTCACTTCCATTGAAATAAATGATGGCCGTGTTTAAAAAAAAAAAAATCTCTCAGCCCAAAAGTTTCCTATAGTGGTTCATGTTCAATATATAAGAATGAGCCAGTGCTAGCTTACAATCCTAACATACATGATAGAAATGAAAAGAAAGAAAGAAAGAAAGAAAGAAAGAAAGAAAGAAAGAAAGAAAAAAAGAAAGAAAGAAAGAAAGAAAGAAAGAAAGAAGGGGGAGAGTAGCATGGCTGATAGAATGGCCTTATTTCCATCTCAATGCTCTCTGTTGCTGGTGACAATTTCGATTTATAAAAAAACCTAAATGCAGTTCAGTATTTTTGATGATAGTTTTTCTACATAACTAGTTCAGCAGTATCTTATTGGCAAGCATGGTCGGTATTGATGAGAAGATAGGACAGCATTTTCTTAAATCCCATTAGTTGCTGTAAATCTGCAAAATGAAATATAATTAATGCCTTCCAAGCATTCCAAATCAATCCCGTTAGTTGCTGTAAATCTGCAAGATGAAATATAATTAATGCCTTCCAAGCATTCCAAATATATTTTGATATATTTTGAAAACAAGTATCTGGCCGTGGCCAGAATCCTATTGCATAGCTGCATCCATGCAACTCATGATTGCGTGTGCAACAGTTGCACTATGTCTGAGGCAAAAGGGTTGTTCCTGAAGGACTGCTGCTGGTGCCTTGTTCAATTGGTCATGCCAGGGACATGCCGCCAGTTACATAAATCAGTAGTGTAATTCCTTGTTGCCAGGCATAATGCCTGACACATTTATGTTGGGATAACTTCATGTTACACTGACATGAACACAATACTGACTTATATGTGTTAATTGTCATTTCTGTGTCTTTCTCTTTGTGAAATCATCTTGTCCTTTGGATTCTGTTATGCAACCATATTGTTCAACCCTCTTTATATTTAGGTTATTTGAATTGCTTTGGAAAGTTTACTTCTTTAGACTGCGTCTCCTAGATTGCCAAGATGGAGACAACGTCTGGAAGCAGTAATCTAGAAAAGTATTGTTACCAAGCTCAGTGGAATCAGAAAGATGGATGCAAATACAAGGTAGTCAGTAAATTTATTCAGACTTAACAAAGAAACAGAAAAGCCAGCAAATTAACGGAATAACCAGGAGTTAAAAATAAGAAAAAGAAAAGCTAAAGTAAAAGTGTGCTCATTCTCATTCCTCCCCCTCATGAACCATATCACAACAGAAGAATGTTCTCAAACCCAGAAACTAATTAACACTAATTAACAGTCTAAAATATATTTATTATTTATTTATTTTATTTTTTTAACTTATATGCCGCCCACTCTGCCCAAAGGTCTCTGGGCGACTTACAACAATTAAAATACAATAAAAGATAAAACGATTAAAATACAATTAAATATACACACGCAATAAAATATTTAGCTCATGACTTGTATACTAAGAAAAAAAGGTGGGGAAAATAACCAAGTTTTTATCTACTGTCTTTGTCAGTCACCTTGCCTCTTGTAGGCGGTGTCCTAGGCATCTATGGCAGAAAGTCAACCTGCTGGTCTCCTGTCTTAAAATCAGGACTGACCATCTGGACCAGTCCAGCAGTCAAACAGTGAAAAAGTCAGCTTTATTTTCAAGTAAAGGAAAGACACAATAAAGGTACATGACATTATGTACTGTGTGGATGAAGTGGGGAGGGAATTATATAGAGAGAGAGTTGGCACAACACCTCTACAGAGAACGATTACAACAACCAGGGTTTTCTAGTTTACAGGAAAATCAAGTAAAGGAAAGACACAATAAAGGTACATCCCCACTTCGTCAAAAATTCCCTCCCCACTTCGTCCACACAGCACATAATGTCATGTGCCTTTATTGTGTCTTTCCTTTACTTGATTTTCCTGTAAACTAGAAAATCCTGATTGTTGTAGTCATTCTCTGCAGGGGTGCTGTGCGAACTCTCCTCAGTAATTTTGGTTGCTTGTTGTCCTTGCATCTTCTAAAACTTTAATGAAGTTATTTGAGCAGAAGTGACTAGAACTGTACACAACATTCACTCCACATTCACCATATTATATTAACTATAATTAGGTAAAGGTAAAAGTTCCCCTTGACATTTTTAGTCCAGTCGTGTCCGACTCTAGGGGGCAGCGCTCATCCCGCTTTTCAAGCCATAGAGCCAGCGCCTGTCCCAAGACAGTTTCCGTTGTCACGTGGCCAGCGTGACTAGATTAACTATAATTAACCAGTTCTAAATAGAGGAGTGTTTTAGCAACTTTAGGCTAGATAACTACTAAGCAGTCTGTCATCTTCCCCCTACAGTGGTGTGTGGGCAAATCCAGTGAATATCATGTGTCCCATACACCAGCGGTCCCCAGCCTTTTTGGGGCCGTGGACCAGGTGGAGGGGGAGTAAGCTCCATGCATGGGCGCATGTCATGCCCCGCGCGTGGGCGCAATACCTGCCCCCGCGCAAGTATGACACCCCCCACAGTTGAGATTTTCTTAAAATCCTCAGTGAGGATATAATGCTGAAAGGTTGGGGGACTGCTGGCATAGATGGATCACGACAAATGTCAGACTGACTGTGAGTCTGTGATTCCACTGTAAGGAAGGAGTTTCTCTGTGACATAACCTTTGCATTTCTGCTCACCTGTTGCTCACCTGAAAACAAGACAGGGTCTTATATTAATTTTTGCTCCAAAAAAACACATTAGGGCATATTTTCAGGGAATTTTTATTTTTTCATGCACAACGATCAACATTTATTCAAATAAATGTTGCCGACGATCAACATTTATTCAAATAAATGTTGCTGCACAATGAGTCCCCGGCGGCAGGCGGAGTTTCACTTAACTGGAGCTTATTTTTGAGTAGGACTTATATTACGAGCATCCTGAAAAATCATACTAGGGCTTATTTTCAGGTTGGATGTATATAGGGAATTTGAGGAATATAGGGGAATAGGGAATATTTAGTTAGGGGTGTACAATTCTAAATTACTTGAGAGTATTCTCTCATTTTTACTGATTCAGCAAAGCAGCATTTTGAATACAGTCCTCTGAAGGCATGGCATTTCATGCAATTTCTGGCACACAGTTGCACAAGCCAGAGATCACTCTTTTGAAGCAATGGGGCTTCTAGATATACAAGTTGGTAAATACCTCTTTAAATAAACTGTTTGAAAGCAGAAGAGTTTGCTCAGTGGACTGTTGTGGTATAAATGAGAAAGATTGATGCCTTAAAGCATTTGGTTCCAGTTTAAATTGCTATGTTCTTTTTAACCTCATTATGATCTGTTTTCTCTCTCTTCTCTTAATGAATTCTGTCTGCATAATTTGTGGTCTCTTAACCTCTTCACCTTCTCTTCTCTTTTGTTTATTGTTACCACCTGCTTTAGGTCACTATTAGTTGCCCAAACATTTTTCCATTAACACACCTACACATGTACAGTATCTGCTACTACTTTTCTTCTGCCGGAACTCCATCGTGCACTCTACTCTTTCTCTATGTTGTGATAAACACATCCTTTGTTTTTTTTCTTGCTACACATGTTTCCTTTTTGAAAAGGAAGGAGAGTATTTCTTCTTTACTTTAGGGAACCATCTGCCACTATATTCCAAGGTTCCTTAAACTGACCTGTATCTGCTGTCACTAGTAATTTAGACACCTGAAAGAAATCTGCTACTTTAGACTTAGGTGTGAGATAAAATACCACTAAGATACTCCTAACAGGTAGCAAGAATTTATGAAAGTTGATACTATTGTACAGAAAAGAACTTGGGTACTGAAATCTGTGATTCTCAATAAATGCTTCATGTCATACTCTGAGAGAAAAAGTGTTGCTGCTTTTAGCCGCGCCAGGATGCTTTTCCCCAGCCAAAGAATCCTAAATCCACCTCATCCAACTGCAGTTTTATTTCAAACCAGGGTGGATTTGATTTAAATCAAAATGTAAATCCCAGTTTAAATGTATAAAATTAGATTTTTGGTATGATTTAAATAAAAAAATTTTTTTTATTTAAATCACAATTTTAATTGTTATTTAAATTGATCTTTAAAAAAATCATTGTTCTTTTCCCACCATATTTCAATCAGTTTCCCTTAATTTTAAACTCCCCATCTAATGAATCCTTTCCCACTCTTACTGTAATATGTCAGTGAGTAGCTATCACCAGTCAGCCCAGAAAGGGTGTGTTACTATATTATTTTTGAACTGAGTAGAACCTTCAACAATCTGTAGGTCTTTTCAGATGTATCAGAATGATTTTACTTGATGTGTTTCTTATTTAGAAATTGTGTAGCTTCCTTTCTTTTTCAGTTCATACTCAGTCTCCACCAAATGGCCATTGTCACATAGACTCACAACATTATAAGAGCACACAACAGAAATGTAAAGTTCTATGCATAGCACTTGTTCACATGCATCTGCATCTCCTGCAAAATCTCTGACTTGGTTTATTAGCAGTGCCATAGTTTAGGGCTGCCACTTACTGCTCCCTCCTTCAATTCTTCTGTATGTGAGAACCTGATGTTACAACCTATTGCTATATTTGAAGTGCCCTTTTTCCTTTTATACTGTAACTCTTACTTACATGTTTAAATATTTTTATTCTATTCTTAAAACTATCCTGTCACAGCAACTTGCAAAGAGTGTCTATTAATCTTTAGATAAATTCAGTACTGAACTTTGTGAGTTTAGACAGCAGACCTGTGTAGAAACTGCATTATCTCTTCACTACAAGTCTAGCTTCTAAGCACGTAGTAGGAATGCCCCTAACCGTACAGTCTTGTTAACATTGATCAGCAGATTAAATTGCTTCGGTTTATAGCATGTGATTGAGCCCATGTCCCATAAGCTTATTCTAGTGAAAAATGGCAAACTTTCTGCCATATCAAGAATTGGGAATAGGAATTCTGCAGTACCAGCCTTTTAAAAACTGGTGCAATGCATGAGCACTGAGACAGAGCTAGTAGGAAAGAAAAAGGATTTAACTTCTTTCAGTTGATTATTCCTTTGGGTTTCCTATTTCTGTGTGTTTCTGAATAAAGACACTTCTTTTTATTGAAGTGCTCTGTACTCTAGTAGTGTTGCCTTCCCATAGGCCTAACAATTTGATAATATTGCTGAGGTGACAAAATGGGTTAGAAGATTGGGAATATCCTGCATTCAAAAGGAGGAAATGTGGGGAGGTTCAAGACCTTGTTCAAGGATGTGCTCACCTCTCCCACATGCAGGTCCCAACTAGAAGCAAGGTACAGTGGTGCCTTGCTTAGCGATTGCTTCGTTTAACGAAGAATTCATTTAACGATGTATTTCTTGGAGGAATTTTCCTCATCGTTTAATGATGTTCTCTATGGGGGATTTTCACTTAATGATGTCCATTTTCGCTCATTTTTAAGTGTCTTAAAATGTTTGAAACCTGTTTTAAATGCTTGGATTTGGTAGTGAACCTTGTGAAAGATGTGCAAACTTATTTTGGCTCTGTTCTGAGTCTTCATTAATTTTTGGTGATTTTTTGTGTTTCCCCTTTAAATCCATTGAACTGTCCGTTCAATGGATTTAAATGGGGAAAACAAAAAAATCACCAAAAATTAACGAAGACTCAGACCATAGCCAAAATAAGTTTGGACATGTTTCACAAGGTGCACTACCGAATCCAAGCATTTAAAACAACTTTCAAACATTTCAAGACACTTAAAAATGAGCGAAAACGGAGATCGGAATGCCATTCAAAAGCATTGCAGCCGGCTGCAATGCTTTTGAATGGCTTTCCGTTGGGGGAAACATTGTTTCACTTAGCAATGTTTCCTATGGTGATTTTCGCTTATGGATGGTAATCCGTTCCCATTGGAACGGATGAACCGGTTTTCAATGCATTCCTATGGGAAATGGTGTTTCGCTTAACGATGTTTTCCCATAGCGATGGTTTTTTGGAACCAATTAACATTGTTAAGTGAGGCACCACTGTAATTATTATCTGCCACTAGTTCCTCCATACATTGACTTACTTTTGAAATGGTGCCCAAAGACATCAGGTTTATGGGCACATGCAAAGCTTGTTGACTATGGCTCTTCAGGAGAATTGTTTCTGGAGTTGATATTGCCACGTTCCCTGCACACCCCTTCATTGTTTCACCAAATAAAGGCTCATGCTGTGAGCTGTCCAGCTGCCACCAGCACTTTCAGTGTTAATGACAGAGGTCCAGACAACGTGTCATTTTATATAAAGCAGAAATAGTTTATTGTAACAAAGAATAAAGGTTAAGCCAACATCGTTTGTTCTGAACGAAACAGTCCTTAATGGTCTTCATCAGTTCACTACACATCAGCCCTTGCTTAGTAATTTAATTGTCTCCCCCCAAAATCTAAATCCACCATCCTCTAGTCTCCTCCTCATTCCGGGACTCTTATATCTCATGACTCCGCCTCTCCAGCACTCTCATTGGTGCATGCAGATATCATATTAATATTCATGACCTGGGTGAGCGCCACAGATATCAAACTGAACTCAGAAATTGTAAAGGAATGTAGTAGTTGGATTAAATGCAAACTTCCCTTATGTTTGTGACTTCTGGTTGTATGGCCTTTAAAATGTATTATGGAAAACTCTTCCTTTAGTTTTTTGATAAAGAGTTTTGAAAGGGCACAAATGTTTTCTAAAAATGTTCTCGGTAAGTTATAAGAATAAAAAAGCTAGAAAGGTCAAAGGAAATACTGTTTGAGAGCCAATGAATTTTCTTTGACCTTTCCTGTGTAGGTTTAAATTTCCTGAAACATTTGCATCTTCCATATGTTGCTTTGTTTAGGAAAAGCTTATCTTCTGTATGCAAATTTTATATGATGCCTTTGGCATAGAGACTGGTAAATGCAGCAACAGGTTCTGTTCAGAGGTCATCATTATTTATTCTTTATGTTTGCATATGTCTCTCTCTCTGTATGTATAGAAGTATTCTGACTGATGCTGCCAAAAGCTACTTATCCCTGTCATCTCTTTGGCAATATATGGCCATTGCAAAGGTATCAATATACAGTGGTGCCCCGCTTGACGCTTACCGTGCATGACGTCGAAATCGCTTTACGATGAGTTTTTGCGATTGCTATTGTGATCGCAAAACGATGGTTCCAATGGGGTTTTTTTGCTTGACGTCGATTAGGAGCCTGCTTCGTGAACCGTTTGTTCGCTAAATGACAATTTTTCTGGCTGTGCAAAATGGCTTCCCTTCGTAAAATGGCTTCCCTCCCTTCTCAAAATGGCTGCTTTCCGGACCTCTGCTTCGGAAGACAGTGTTTTTAAACAGCTGATGGGTGGTTCTCTATGGGCAGTCTTCGCTGGACGATGAGGTATTTCCCCATTGGGACACATTGACCAGTTTTCAATGCATTCCAGTGGGTTTTTTTTTTTTTTTTGCTTGACGATGATTTCGCTTAACAGCTATTTTCCTGCAACGGATTATCATCGTCAAGCGGGGCACCACTGTAACTAGTTAGTGCAGTGGTAAATCCCAGGTATGGATTCTTAGATGTGGGAAACTGGGAAACCTACCCAAAGGCTGGAGCTAGCAATGTATAGCTTTCTACACGATAATGGATGGCAACTCCAGGCTAAGATGGCGAATTACACGAAGGGCTGCAGGTTCTACAACACTACTGTAGAATAAAAGTGGGGCTCCTTTGGTCTCCCTAATGTGTGCATATATTCTAATTTAATCTACAAAGGTGTTTCAATTCTTCTAAATAATAGGAAGGAATTGAACAATCTATGTAGTCTTGCTGCCTTCTTCAGTGTGATGGCCTCCATAGTGAAGTATGGCTGGTGGCCAGAAATGTTGGGAGATAGGCATATAAATAATTCTTGTGTGACAAAAACTGGAAGAAAGAAGGAAATGAAAACATTTGTCTCTTGGCCTTAACACTACCAGTGTCTCCCCCTGTCCCCTGTGAAGCATACTATATTAATAAATTGGAAGGGGACTTTTAACAGTGGAAAAACTTGAAGAGAGGGACCCATCAAAATTATTCTGCTTTTTATTCTTTGTATATATTAGTCATCTGTCATAACTTTAGAACACAAATATTTGTAGTTAAACTTCTTCTGATGCTGGCTATTAACTGCTAAAATGATATTTTACTAGTGATTACTTTTTTAATTAAGCTCATGCATTAGCTATAAAGCCACTTGAGTCCATTGTAAATAAAATGCTATAATAATGAAGTGCTTTAATTACAATCCCTAAAGTATGCATAGTACTCCGTAAATTTTTTATTTAAATTCTTAACATGTTCTATTTTTTTCCTGAAAGGCAGTTTGACTGTACTCATAAAGCCTGAAGCTTTATCATTTAAAGTCATTTGAGCAAATTCCATGGCTGTTCTCCCAGTTAGTGAGTTTTCATGCCATTTGCAGCAAGCTAATTGCTTCTGCTAATAAATAATCTAAAATCAATGCTGACAGCAGTTAATTGGCACAGAGACTTTATTCTGTAAAGCACTTGGCTAACAACCTTCCTTAAATTAATAGCATTAAGTGCTATGAGGAAATAAATCTGAGGAATTGCCTGTCATTTGCTTGTCATGTCTAATAACTTCCAATAATGATGGCTGATAGATTTTTGCACATTCTATTATTGAAGTTGGTGCATGTAATTATTCTCCTCATTATATGTAAACAATTAGCGATATTTGGTGTTTCCTTGCAATAAAGCTGTTGAGCACAACTAGTGCATTAGAGGTTAGGAACGATTTTTTAAACCTAGATTTCATCTCTATGAGTGCAGTGACAGTAATGTGTTGTGTGTGGTTGTTCGAGGATTTCTTTATCTTAATTTATGCCATTAAAGAAAAGCATTGAAATTAAAAAAACTAAAGTGGCCTATATTGACCAATAAAACCGTTTTAATTTTTAGCTTGAAGAAGTAATGGAAAAAGAAACGTATAAGGCTGCTAAACTAATACTTGAAAGGTTTGATCCAGAAGCCAAGAAGGCAAAGGTAGGATTTGATCTCCGTATTAATTTACTACAAAGTGCACCTTAGAGCAAAACACTTTGTAATATTATTATAATTGACAGGATGTTGAACCGCCATCTGCTGGAGCATCTGCAGTTCCAAGACCTGGCCAAGGTAATAGCTCTGTAAAACTGCTGCTTTTCATGAGGAAAATTGTATTTATTTAAATTTTCATCCCAATAGGCTTTGAGTATTTAAAGTAGAGGTTCATCATAATGGGTGTCTGATCAGAAACAGGACATGTATTTGGTAGAGATGATTGCATTATCTGACCTGAAAATATATTATTTTGTCATAGAAGAAATTTGATAGATCAAGACCATGTTTTCCCCTCAGTTCAGCTCATTGTGTTCAGTAATCTTTTGCAGTGAGTGATGGGTGTATTTGTGTGTGTGGCAGAAGAATGTTGATGCTCTTTCCCCAGTAATCACAGAGATGGTGGTTTGATCTCCATACTAATGTACTGCAAAGTGCACCACAGTGCTGTGCTCCAGGTTTGTGGGGCTCCAGGTTCTGAAACGAAGCAGCTGTTCAGCTACATACACCAAGTTTGTCTGCCTACAGGTTCCACTGTAGGGAAAATGGATGATTTCTCCATCAGACTATTATTTCTGGAAGCCACCCCTAGGCTAGGTATTCTTGAGTCTGTAGTAGAGTTTTCTGTGCCCTTTCACATAAAACAAACAAACAAACAAAAAACCCCAATGCAGGTAGGAGGGCATGGTGGCTGCTAGCCTGGTACATATTTGCTACATGCTTTTAATTAATTTTATATTTAAGAATTGCTTCTAAAACACAATAAAACTTGGCCAGAATCTTGTTGGAGATTTATGCATGCATCAGTTGACTTTCAGTGAGTTGCTGCAAACTATGGTACTGGTCATATTATGAGGCATGTGCCTGATTTTGTTATAGGCATGTATCTACTAATGCAATCGGTGACCCGATAGTTAGCAGCAGTTTGCCACGGTGAGGGTACAGTTAGACAGAGTGGCTATCCGATGTAGTTTCTTGTCAATTCAGTTTCCTATGGCAGAATGTTTATTCTGGGCATTGGGGGGCAGGGCATCAGGAATTTGCACCAGCCCTCAAATTGCTACAATTCTCATTGGGACCACAGGTCACCTACTTTGCTCTGTCATTTAAACCACTTTCTTCCCTGCCTCTTAAAAAAAAGATTTTATTTTATTTTATTTGGCAAATGATGCTGCAAGTAGATACGCTACCAAAAAACTAGCCCTTGCTGGCTGAACAAAAAGCAACATGTATCCATGAAAAAAGACTGCAAATTGCTGTGCATTGTGTAATCAACAGAAAATACATAGAATTTAAGTGTAGCAACTGTGGCACAAAATGTAGGGTAAATTGCAGTGTAATTGCACCCTGAGTCATGCAGTTTAACCTACAAAAGCACAAGTCTTTAACAGGAGTCTGGCTGTTTTTTGTTGTGTTTTATTTTCTTTCTGAGTAGCAATTTCAGAACGGTGAGTTACAGTCAATAGTAGCTCTTCTGATCGGTAGTTCTGTTGGATTTTTTTCTTTGTCACCTGTTGTAATCATCCTTCCTATTCTAGTTAATGCTATGTTTTGTGACAGTGGGACTGATTCGGAGAGACAAGGAAGATAGAGAAATCAAGAAAATATTTTAACAGAGAGAAAGACAACATGCTAAGAAGTTGCACTTTTGCAGCAGATCTGAAGATTTTATAGCTTTTATCAATGTACATTTGAGGTTGTCCATATTTCATTGAAGGGGTGGACTGTGTGACAGTTCGTAGTGATTCCATAATTTTAAGCTGTGCCATGCTTGAGGACCTGCCAGAACACAGCAGAACTGCTTTCCCCACAAAAAAGAATTGCTTTCACTCTCTTGACTTGTCACTAGACCAAAAACAAAAAAAATTGTGGGAACCTTGTACAGAACTTTACCCCAAAGGAATAAGTAGGTAAAAAGTAAACTATTATCAGTTCCAAAGAACAAGAATTATATGCAAAATAAGAAGGAAAAAAGTACACATACCAATGCATATCTATTGAAAGCGACCAACATGAATTTAACCCAATTCCGGGAGGCAGTGGAAGACAGGAGGGCCTGGCGTGCTCTGGTCCATGGGGTCACAAAGAGTCGGACACGACTAAACGACTAAACAACAACAACAATTTGCCCTTGACAAAGCCACAGGTACTGGAGACTGCAGTACTGTATTGCAGAACTGAATGGTAGCATGAACTTTATATAGCAGAAGGTGTTTGCATGAAGCTGGTTCAAGGATATGCAAGAAAGATGATGTCTTTGAATTAATATTTCTTTCCAGCAGATTGTGCTTGTCAGGGATTGAGAACAGTTCAAATGCCTGGCCTCCCATCATCCTTCATCATTTTGGTTGGAGCTGGTGGGAATTAAGTCCAACAATATCTGGAAGGCCGTAGGTTCCTCAACCCTGTCTTACATTTCTGTGTGCTATTTGCATATATATCTGGCAAAAGAAATAGGCCAAGAATGGTATGTGTCTGTGTGTTTTAAAAAAGTGGGAAAGTGTCCATATCAATCCAGTTTCTCTTTGGTAAGCTGTGAAACCTATGGCCTTCCATGTGGTGTAGGACACCAGTTCCCATCATCCACAGCCAGCCTGGGAAGTGCTCAGAGGTGACAGGAGTTGTGTTCATCACCATTAAAGGGGCACAGCTTCCCTTTCTTTTGAACACAATGCATGTATTATGTTTTTAAAGAGAATATAAATAGAGAGAAGGAAGCGTTTCCAAGGTGTTTAGGGCTGAGGTGGTACACTTCAAAACAGTAGTTTGAATTAAGTTGTTCAGGATATAGAAATTACACAGAACCCCTTCTGGGCCGTTGACACCTCAGATGTTCTGCACCTCAGGCATTTTCTTTAATGATGGCCATGCCTGCACTACAGTAGTCAATTCCTGACAGCTGCAAAAATCATGAATGATGATGCCCAGCGCCAGGTCTGAGCGAGTGGGTCACTGCTTTTCCAGCAGAGAAATTCTAGCCAGAGTGGTGCACCCCGAGGCTGTGAATCTGAATGATTGGGTGCCTCCTCGGTGACAAGTGTGTGTGTGTGCAGTCTTCAGATCGGTCTTGGCCCAATCTCATTATCTTGGTCTTGATTTTCTTTCAATTGGAGATAGGTCGCTCTGCCTATCTGTTTCCCAGTCACGGCCAGCAAAAATGGCAGGATCAAGGTCAGATCAGAGCGGCACCATCAGCATATTGATAGCATCTTAAGGCCTACTTCAGTACTCATTATCTGTGGCAAATTCCCACAGAATCAGAGGCAGTTTTATGTGTGCGTGAAGGATTTAACAAGACCCCAGTTCCTTTTGGACTTGAGCCACTCTTATGGCACACAATTCATTGCTAACTAGGTATCTCTTTTTTCTGCACATCCTTGGAGCAGAATGCTGCTCAACTCTTTCCAGCAGGAAATGAGCCATGGACCAGTAAAAGTGAGACTCATACCATCCCCCTCTCCTTGCACATTATCCTGTTGAAAAAGACAGATTGTTAATAAATGGTAACATGGTTGAAGTATGAAGGAACTAAAGTGATGTGGAATATTTAAATAACTGTGGTATGAAACAGTCTAAAGATCATAGGAAAATGGCTATATTTTTATAGTAATTTAAATATTGTGGAGTAGTGTCTGAAAAATGAGTCTGTCTGTTTACTGATATTATGTTTAACACAAGTTAATTGTTTATGTTTGAAATTGAGGTTTAGTGATGCTATGTGTTAATTAGAGAATGTTGGGTTGTAATTATCAGGTTATTACTGCTATTCAGGAGAGAATCTTTAAAGAATAAATTTAAAGAACCGGGTGGTAGGAATAAAATCCTAGAATAGTTTTGTTGGCAAACTCAGGTATATTCTTCAGCTCTTTTTGGAATGTAGTCTTTACAAAGACTGTTGTTATCTTATTGAACTTGAAATACTGCCACATCCTTGATCTTCTGGAACGTTAAATGCTAAATCCCATATGTGAATGTTCTATCAGAACTTCGGCATCGAACTCCAGTGCGAGGGAATGTGTCTCCACCTCTCCCAGTTACACCAAAACAGGGGTCTCCGAAAGCGTCGAGTCCAATGCCAGCATCTCCTGGCTTGCAGAGAGAGATCTCAGCACCTGGTGGACCTCCAGAGAGAACTCTGACATCCGCTTCACAGTCCAATGTGTTACAAAGACATCCTGGACCCCATGCTACTTCAGTGTCTGGAATGGGTAAACAGAGCACTTAATGTTGTTTACAGTTTATATTGTTTTCTCTGGTTACCAATAAAACAGGCCATTTTCAGACAGTATGGAAATGGCATTTTGTTTGAAAATAGAAGAACAGTTATCTGATTAAGCAGGAGTTCCATATTCAATTAGCCATAACTCTTTACAGCTGGCACCTTATGATACTGAAGCCTATTGCCTGAGCTCATTTAACTGTTATGGCTTCTTTGTTTAAATGGCAATAAAACTTTGCAGTATTCTGTAGTCAACAGTATAGCATACCTTTTATGTTCTTGGTTTAGACAAGCTCTAGACTTGTATAAATCAGGTACGTAGGAAAACACTTTCAGAATACATTCATGTTTCTGTTGAAGCTCTGGACATATTTTTAACTTGGATAGTGACATTTATTTAAATATTTATACTAAGCAAAACAAGTTCATGCTGGAAAGATTAAAACATAAAATGCCCAGTAACCAAAAGGGTTTTTTTCCTATTAGGCATAAGACCTTTCTGAAGTAGCATGCTAATAAACCAGAGTTAGCATCAGTTATTATCTTGGTTGAAACATTTTATCTCCACTTTTGCATCAGCTGAAACTACAAGCTAGACTCAGAGACCATTCAAAGCTTTTTTTTCCTCCATTACTGTATTGATTTCCTGCTTTGCAGATGTGTTATTTCAGTTGGGATGGGGCCTGCAATGACCACTCTTTTTAACTGAGCACTATTAAAAAGTATGTCTCCTGCCCACCTGGCTCCCCAGTATCTTAATTTGTGAGGAGGGATAAGAGTGTAATGGCAGGGCCAGATCTGAGGATGAGTGACCCTGCCTTGGAAATTGTAAACATGTCAAAAGGGAAAATTGATACCCTATATCTTGAGGAGAACATTTGGCTCTCTCTTCAGTTACTTCCCCCCAAATCCATCTATTAATGGCAATTCATTATGCTAATCATTTGTTACCAAAAATATGAGGATTTTTGAACTGTATCAAGTATGAATTAGGAGTAATCTTTGCTAACTCAGTTCTATGACATATTTTTAAAAGTTTGTGTCCCTGACAGTATTGGAGGGTGTAGTTTTTGTAGGAATGTTTCAAGAATAAGATGCCCATGGCAGACCTTATAGACAAAATGATGCAGTGTAAAAATAATCAAGTTTCTGGGTGTACAGATTTCTTCCTGTCTTGTGAGAAACAGCAGTTGGAGTGCATATGGCTGCATTTAATTATCCTTAAAGTAGAAAAGATAATTCATTTTTTCATTATATTATACTTTGTGGAAGAGAATCAATTTAACATGTATTACCACAGAGCTTCCATATGTCTAAAAATTAATAACCAGCAGGTAGTTGAGAGTTTGCCAAGCTTTGCAGAAATGGCCAGACTGGCCACAATGATTGCTTTTGATGTTCATATTAATTACTGTTGTCCATATCAGCGTGAGGAGTAAGATGCATGGTTTGAGAGTCTGTGACTGTGCCAAGGAATTGGAAAGCTACTTGGGGCATGTGAGCTTGTTTCAGGCTTCTCGGGATGAGCTAGGCAGCTCTTAACTAGGGAACTCTGTGATTATTCCATACTCAAATTTTGCACATTTAATAACAGTGAAAATAATAATCTTGAAGATTAGGAAGATAAGAAGTTTCCTTATGCTCTTGATCTGTTTAGTCCTTGCAGAACCTCTCCAGGGGTCCAGGCTGGATTCTTTCCTAGCCCTAACTGGAAATGTGGGGGGTTGAATCTGAGACCTTCTGCATGCAGATCTGGTGTTCTACCCTAGGACAATGCTTCCCACTGATTTTATTTTAACTATTTTAAGGCAGTTTTTGGTCAGTTTCCCTCTAGCCCTTCAGTTCTAAGATGATGATGATGTTCTGTCCTAGAGGCATTTATTTGGAATAGTATATCTTTCACAGGATTAGGGCAGGGATGAGAAATGCATGTGTCCAGATGTTTTGGCCTGCAGTCCTTGCCAGCTTAAGCCAGCATAGCCAATGAGAAGGAGTTGAAGAGATCTGCAGTCCAGCAACGTCTGGGAGTGGAACATTCCTCCCCCCTTGCATTTGTGCAAAATAAACACAGCCATAAAATTAGATGTGCAAAATGCCCACAGTTTGCATTCTTTGAAATATCAGATAATTTTGATAGAAGTGAGAGTTTAATGAAGTTTATAGACTTCCTCCAGCACCACAGGTATATTTATGTCTCTTCCTGTCTTTAAGTACTAGTTACTGAAAGAATTTGGATGTATAGTTTGTTTCTTCATGAGTTTAAACTTTCTTTTGTGAGAGAGGGAATCCTAAGAAACCTCTAAGTGTAGTGCCCAGGTATCTCTACTGTCAGAATGTTTGTCATCATCACATTGAATGGAGTGGAGGCCCTCTTCTCTCCCTGTGTGTTCAAGGATTCCTTCTTGTAAGAGTATTTTCTGTGTGCATATTTGTCAATCAGGTTAGACCAGGTCACACAGTATAGGGGTGATGTGTAGATTTTGCCCCAAACAACTTTTTAACAGCTGCTGCACGTCCATCACCACCACCTCAGCCAAGTAGGAGTTAATTGCTTGGGCAAATGGGAAGTAGTGAACCTGTAAGTGTTGTATCTTCTGAAGGGTAATAGAACAGGTATCAAGACTGAATCTTATACCTTTCTCTTCACAGAAGGTTACGATTTTCATGTTACTTATCATATTTTTCATTCTTAAAAATCAAGGTATGAAACTCAGCATGACTGGAACTGAGGACCGCAACAACCTATGTAAATGTTAGGGGGGGGGGACTTTATTCCACCTTTCTACCCTTGATACAGACTGAGTTGTGATCACTTGGGAAAATAGACTGCATTTTTGACCACTTGTGACATGGTCCAATGTGATCTCTTTCCTGCCAGTCAAATGATGTACAGCAAGTTTCTTCAGCCTAACCCTGATCCCTGCCCAAAATGGACCTTTTTTGGTTCAGCTGTAGGGGTACTGTTTTGGTGGGTTGGCTGGAGCTGTTCCCCAGTAGAGAGAAGGTTTCCTTTAAGGGAGATAACTCCCAGCAATGAGAATCTTCCCAGTGCACTTGGATGTGTACTTTTCCTCCCATCTGATCACAAACTGAAACAGAAGGTTTGCAGTTAAGGTACCGTATTTTTCTGTGTATAAGACACCCCCATGTATAAGACCCCCCACTTTTCTAACTCAAATTTAAGAAATCTAAGCAGGGATTAGCAAGTGGAGGGGAAAGGGATCAAAGTGCTGCAGGATCGGTTTGATCCCTGCTTTCCCCTCCCACTGCTGCATGATCGCTTTGATCCCTATCCTCCTCCACTTGTTTTTGTTCTCTCCTCAGCTTACTTCTGTGTATAAGACAACCATCAATTTTTAGTCTAAAGATTTTAGACAAAAGTATCATACACATTGAAAAATATGGTTTATTGTTAGGTATAAAGTTAGTAGGTTGGATTGATACCCATCTTTTGTTTTCTAGGACTTCATCCTCCAGGACCTCCATTGGCTAGACCTATTCTTCCTCGAGAGAGGGGAGCATTAGATAGAATTGTTGAATATTTAGTTGGAGATGGTCCACAGAACAGGTAAAATATTGCTTGTAGTAAGTAAATTGTGAAGTCAGTAACTCAGAGTTGCTTCTGAAGTTGCCTTTTGAGTTTTTTCTACACTTGGGTGATGTCAGAAACATAAAGTCAGATAAGAGGAATTCACCCCCATCCACCCTTCACAACACTGCATTTTCTAGAAATTAAGTGATGAAAGGCTGCTATTACTGTGCAATCTTATGCATCTGGAGAGAGCAGTTTTGCTAGGTTCACAAGCCACTTTGTCTCCCTAGATATATGGGAGCCTAACCCCTTAGATATCCCCCACGCTGATTTTTTTAAAATATATTTATTTTGTAATGAAAACAGGAAATTGTAGCTTCCCACAAATCTCAGTAGGGACACATCTAGCAATTTGCTGGCTATTTTGGCCTTTCTGTGATCCAGATTTGTCTTTGGAGAGAATCAGGGTCATGTGGCTTTTCCTCTGTCTCATGGCAGCCATTGTTTGGACAATTGCAATCATAGCTCTTATTGGTTTGGCTACTATTCGCATCTTTTCAGATACTAGCTGTTCTTAAAGCCAGAGGTTTTTTGGTTTATCTGAGCAGTTATTTGCCACTCCCTTTCCCAGCTCCCCCCCCCCAAACAATCAAACACTTTGTCAGCTATCCATTTTCCTTCAGTTTTACTCAGCCAACTTTATCTAACTGCAGCACGAATGCAGGTTTTCAGCATGCTGGTACCTAAGAGAGCAAAATGCTAAAATCAAACAGTCTCTAGGCTGAACTGCAACATGATTAAAAATACTCAGATAACTAATTGAAATGTGTGATAATGTCATGCATTTATGAAAATCACTTCATGGTAACATTATCCGTTGCCTAGAGACATAGACTAATTGAATGCGTGGGTGGATTTGGGAACATGGCTTCCCCTATTCAGATGCTGTACTAGACATGTGAACCTTGGAAGATAGTTTACACAACATCAGAAGAGGGCCAAAACGTGCCCTCCAAGCTTCTCTCTGTGCATTTAGATAATGTATGGAATTGAATGTGAGTAAAGGACTTGCATCTGTCTTAAATTTCGATCTTTTTAGAAGTACGCAGATCTGTTGAGGTGACCAGTCTCATGACTAAATTAGATTAATATCTGAAGTAATTGGCAAAACCACAGTTTGATTTCTTTTTCTTTAGATATGCTCTCATATGCCAGCAGTGTTTCTCACATAATGGAATGGCTTTGAAAGAGGAGTTTGAATATATTGGTAAGAACACATGCATATATTTTTCTTCTTGGACAAGAACTTGTTACTCTGAAATGCATTTAATTTTTTTCTGTAGTATGATGCACTGCTTTTTTATTAGTAAAATGCTTGTTTCTGTGTTAGATTGTGTCCTAAAAGATTAATAAATATAGCTCTGTGTTGAATTCTGGCCTTTATAATACTTATATAATACTTTGCTATATTTAGAATACTTCATCCTGTTTGAGTGTACCTTTGGTGTGATATTCTCACTGTAATGCACAAGTCAAGGAACATGTGTGCAAACCAGATTATATAAATAAATGGCTTTCTGTGCATGCTTTTTAAGACTGCTCTTGGCTATGAATAGTACCCTAAAAGGTTTTATATCTAGCTCCTTACTTTACCAGAAGTTTAACAAAATTTGTTAAGTCTGTGGGAGACATCAGAGATGGAGTGGGAATAAACTCCTGGGGCTATTCTTTCATTTTATGACTGACAATAACTTAAGACAGACACACAACTCTTCATTGAACACAGATGTTTATTTTGCCTCCTTTCAGAAAGCAAAATTCAGTTTGTGAGTAATGTGAGATAAATTGTCTCAGACACTTGCTCTTTGCTGTTCCCCTTGGATGTGAGATTCCATTTGTCTCTTCACTTTGTAAAAATATTCAGAATAATCACTAGTACATTTAATATTTTATCAGGGTACTAGTTCTTTTGCTAGAATATGCCGTCAACTCTGATCTAGATGTGTAGTCAAAGCTTAGTTCACGTTATGTTGAATAGGTCTCCCCGCCCACACAAGCTAAAATTACGCAGATTCATCAATAGCAATAGCCATGCTATGCAGATAAACAACAGAAGGTTTATATTTGATCGTATAGATTGTCTTTTACCTTAATGACGTGACACAGCCATGCTTGGAAGCAGATTTTAATATTTAGTGAAGTCAGTGACTTTCAGCTCCAGATGTTTTTCCCCCTCCAAAATGTGTTGCATATAGAAAGCCTTCTACCAACGCATATATACCCTGCTTCCCTGAAAATAAGACCTAACCTGAAAATAAGCCCCAGTTAAGTGAAACCCCGCCCTCCGCCATTGTGTAGCAACCAGAAGATGACATGGCTGTATTTGAACAAATATAGATTGTTGTACAGTGGTGTCCTGCGTAGCGATGTTAATCCATTCCGGATTAATGTCGCTATGCAGAAACATCGCTAGACGGAATGGAAAAAGCCATAGGAACGCATTAAACTTTGTTTAATGCAGGCTTGTCCAGCATGCGGCCCAGGTCAGCTCGTAATGCGGCCCAGTGCAATTTTTTATTTTTAAAGAAATTCCAAAGTTTCAAGTTACACTGCTGGCGCTTGCAGCCGGAATGTGGCTGGGGCATGTCACGACACCCCTGGTTTAATGCATTCCTGTGGCTCCCAAACTCACAGTTCAGAGAAGTTCCTCCATAGCGCTGCCATTTTTGTGCCCTCGGTAAGCGAGGGCACGGCGCGAAAACACTTGCGGTGGCCATTTTGGGCCCCCGGCAGCCATTTTGGAACCGCCGATCAGCTGTTCTAGGAACATCGCAATGCGATCGCATTAGCGATCTAAAAAAATAGATCACTATGCGGATTCGTCGTTAAACGGTGCACTCGTTAAGCAAGGCAGCACTGTACATGAAAAAAAAATCCCCTGAAAATAAGCCCTAATGCATTTTTGGAGCAAAAATTAATATAAGACCCTGTGTTATTTTCGGAAAAACATGGTATTCTCATTTAGTTCCAAATTGCGTGCAAAGTTGTATGGTGAATGCACAAGCTGTGTGTCATGGAATTTGAGGAACTTGCAAATTACATCCTAAATCCAGTTGCTGGTTTCCATACAGTAGGCCTGTTGGCTGCAGTCCTGTTGGTACAGCTCCACATGTATAGAGCTGATCATGCCATCAGCATAGCCTTTTATCACTAAATAAAAGCATATTTTATCAGAGGCAACCTTAGGAATTCCTTTTGTCTTGGGGAAGTCTTAGGATGGGGTGGAAGTCTAAAAATGTCTGATCTTGCTGCTATAGTGCCTGGTCCCAGCTGCAGAATGGGTGTGTGCGCGTGATTTTGGAATCACAGCCCTTTGGATTCATAATTTGGAATGTTAGAACTTTAGAATTTCTAGATATCTGTAACTTCATTACAGTCAGTATGAATATTATATAGTCATTATTTCACCCCTTTAAAAACACAAGCAGCAAAACATTTTTAAACGAATTTCCCTGCATCCTCTTGACACCTTCCCCGTGATTGTGCCAGACAAGAAGAGTGCATGACAACAGGCAGCAGTGATAGGAAATGACTGTAGTGGGCATACTGAGGGAAACCTGGACAGTGTGAATGCCTGCAGGAAATGTGAGCAGAATTGAGGAAGCAGAGGACAGGTCGCACTGAGGAGTGGGCAGATACCCTGGGAAGCCCTGTCAGGCAGTTTGGAGCAGCAGATAACTTGTAGTGAGTGGGAACTCTGTCAACAGCATGGGTCACAGCACAGCTGAGTGAGTGAGCACATTCTTGGAGTAACACTGGAAGACTGAAAGTCTCCTTCCTTAAAGGGGATTCTTCTTGGTCCAGAAGAGCAGAAATCAATGGAAGTCTCCAGTGCCAAATCATGGACTGCTCTTTGCTGCTTTAACACTCTTTCAAGAAAGTAGAATGGACTATAAATGGCAACATGATAATGAAGAAGGCACAGAAGAGGCTGTATTTCCTGAGAATGCTCGGCAAGTTAAATTTATCTCAGCATTTACTTCTGTCATACTATCTTAGCACCATTGAGAGTGTCCTAACCTATGGCATTCCGGCATGGTTTGGGAATATCTCTGTAGCGGACAAAAAAGCTCTACAGAGAACCATTAAAATTGCCCAGAATATCATTGGGCTCCAGCTACCAACCCTGGATGACATCTTCACATCCCGCTGTCTAAGTAAATCACATAGCATCCTGAGAGACTCTTCCCATCCTGCTTATAACTTTTTTGAACTGTTACCATCTGGCAAGATATAGAACAATTAAGACTCGGACTACATGTTTTCTCAATAGTTTTTATCCAAGAGCTATAATTGCAATTAATAATGAGCTTAAAGACCGCCAGTAGTGAATAATTAGTTGGACTGTGTTACTTGGCCTGCGGTGTAGATGTTTGTATTTTTAGTGGGGGAATTTTAGTGGGTAGGGAGTGTTTGGGGAATTTTATGTGTGTGCATGTGTCTGGTCTCTGGGTGTCTGTGAATTTCGTTGTATGGGTATACTGTGTATATACTTACAATGACAATATATTATTATTATGATGATGATGATGATGATGATGATGATGATGATGATGATGATGATGATGATGATGATGATGATGATGATGATGATGTATAGTTCTATCAAGTTGCCACATCCTGATAGCTATAAAAATATTCTTATTTAACAAATGTTTCTTAACTTCAATATTACATACTAGCTTATCATTAATAACTGTCTTCCAGGTTTTTTAAAATAATGTTCATGTAATTGAACATCGTTTTTTACTTTCCAATTCCTTTCTATTATTAATCTGGCCACTATTAATACATTCGAAAATAATTCTTTTATGATCCATTTTAATTGCTGCTTATAAAATATCGATAAAAGTGCTATTTTGTGACATAGCTCTATATTTAACTTAGTTATTTCATTTACTTTATTAAAAACTAACTGCCAACATTTTAATGTATTTTCATATTCTCCCCACATATGAAACTAAGAATTGACTTCCTGACAACCTCTCCAGCATCTCTTAGAAAAATTAGTATCTGTTTTAATTTATTCAGCATTAAATACCATCACCAAATTAATTTATTAAAAATCCCTTTTCCTTATAGATATACACTTCAATATTCTTCTATCTCATATATTTTTCTACATCATGGAACTTATCTTCTCTCCCCAATCATATTCCCACATTGATTTAAGAAAATCTTGTTGATCCTTAACTTCTAATAATAGTATAATTTTTGCTTGTTAACCCTTTCATGAATAACAGAGAAAACTGCTGCAGTGCAGGCTTGCACCAGAGCATATCATAATAGCACAAGCAGCTATGTCGACCTTCCAACTGGGAAGAACCTATGTGAATATGTGAATAAGTCATTCATATATATTTTATACACACACACACACACACACACACAGAGAGAGAGAGAGAGAGAGAGAGAGAGAGAGAGAGAGAGAGAGTGTTTAAAAAAAAAGCCAAGGACTACTTGATGAGTATCCTGGAAAGTAGTTTTTCCTTCTTGAGACTAAAGTGTGCAAACTTTAGTCTCAAGAAGCTCTTCCATCAGGGAGGCTTGCCCTCTGTTTCTTTGAACTTAGAGTCTTGGCGGAGCAATCTGCACATGTGGGGGCACTGAAGTAATCAATAGAGATGCAGCAGCGGTCTCTATTGATATATTTGCTGTTGCCGGAAGGAGATGTGAAAAGTACAAAGTCTCTGACCTGAGCTTATCCATCCTTTCCATCACCATGCTGTGAGAATTAATGTGTGGGCCCTAAAATGGGTGTCTCCTTCCTGGGATCCCTGTTGCTATAGTCCCATTGGATTGCAAGGCAGCAAGAGACAGAGTTGCAGCCCTTCCATATTTAAAGACAGAAAGTTAATGATCAGTTAAATTCTAGTGGTCCTACCTTATACACTGCTGCCTACCTTCTCCCTCTGCTGACTTGTTTAAAAATAGGGAAGTTCCGGTTGGAGTGGGAACTGCAGTGGAGAGTAGTACTGATAAGAGAACAGCTACAGGCATATAGTTTTACTTCTCAGCTGAACTGATGGTCAAACCTGAGGGGCTGGATGGTGAAAGCAAGATAGCATGGTAGGTTCAATAGTGGGCTCCCAGGTGCCAAAAACTGGTGAAATGTTTGCCTCAGGATAGCTTTATCTACTCCTGTATCCATTCTTGTAAAAGCTGAGAAGATTCAGATACAGTGGTGCCTCGCTTTACGATTGCCCCGCATTACAACAAAACCGCATTACGACAATATTTTTGTGATCGCAATTGTGATTGCAAAACAATGGTCTGAATGGGGTTTTTTCGCTTTGCGATGATCGGTTCCTTGCTTCGGGAACCGATTCTTTGCAAAAAGACGATTTTCTTCCAGCTGATCGGTGCTTTCAAAATGGCCGCCGGGTAAATAAAATGGCTCCCTGCTGTTTTCTGGGATGGATTCCTCGCTGCACAGGCACAAAAAATGGCCGCCCTATGGAGGATCTTCGCTGGACTGTGAGTTTCCAGCCCATTGGAATGCATTAAACGGGGTTTAATGCGTTTCAATGGGCTTTTTATTTTCGCATTATGACGTTTTCGTTCTACAGCGATTTTGCTGAAACGAATTAACATCGTAATGCGAGGCACCACTGTAAAGCTTTAAGTAGCAGAATCAGAAGATTTTTTGAAAATTGGCAGTAGTATATGACATGAAATAAGTAAATATATAAGAAGAGATTTTCTGTTACTATTTGAAGGCTTTGGAAATGTTAAAACTAAAAATAACCAGTAGGCAACTGATGGTGGGAAATTCTCATTTTCCAAATAATGATGGAAAGCAGTATCCCCCCCGTGTCTAACCTTTGTATCTGTTGAAACTTTTGCACATTGAAGTAGCATTCAAAGTAGTAGCCATGGGTTTGGGGTTTTTTACACATTGAGGCTCAATGTTCAGTAAATTTACTAGATATAACAAACTTCTGTGTAGCATTTAGATGTGCCTACTGCTTTTTCCTGAATCCTGCGAGGAAAACCAGACCGCAAGCCCCACGGCTTCCAGATTTCAGTGCTGAAAAGAAGCTCCCGGCTGAAACAGAGGGCACAACTGAATCACTGCGACTGGAGGAGAAGTTACAAGAAAAGCAAATCACTGAAGGTACATAGTACGGATACTTTATGTTTTGCCTGATGCCATGATTTGGAAAAGGAGCCCTTTCTTTGCCATACTTTTTTTTTATTAAAGCTTGACAAGTTATATCATAGACATGATGCAAACTACTGCTGCAACAATTTGTGGGGGAGTATGTATGTATGTATGTATGTATGTATGTATGTATGTATGTATGTATGTATGTATGTATGTATGTATGTATGTATGTATTCATTCATTCATTCATTCATTCATTCATTTATTCATTTATTCATTTATTTATTTATTTAAGCCTTCGTATCCAAAGAACGAATTTTTGGCTCAGCCTTGAATGTAATTCACCTTGTTTGTTCTTTCATGTTAAGATTATTTTAGGCTGTTTTTTCCAAGCTGCAGGAAAATCTGAATTCACACCCTTTTCATTTATAAGACAAATTATTCCCATGTCATCTGGCAAGATTACTCTAACCTTCTTGAGAAATCCCTGGTTCTAATTCTGAAAAAGAATATAATCAATATAAACATTTATACTCTCCAATTAAAGGATTTGGATCCAAAGAAAGTTAAATTTCATTGTTTTCAGTAGGTCATTGGGTTGAGACAGAGTTGAAGTTCCTGCCTTTGTTCGTTAAATTAATTTCGCTGTTTTCCTCAGGGCAGGAAAATCTAGTAAAACCAACTTATTTAAAAATAGGGAGTTCAAAGACAAGTTGTCAACTCTAATTTAACAGAATCCCTTTTGAGATGTTTTATAGGCAAAAAATACAGTAGGCATCTTATGTTCAGCTAACAAGAAAATGCAACATTTTTAACAATATAGTGTAGATCAGAACTAGATTTCTTCAGTTAGGAGCGTTTGGTGATTTGAAGTGAAAATATCTGTGGATCATCTAGAGAGCTTCTTTGGAATATAATATGAGTGGATGATACGACTAAGTATTCCTAGATGAAGAAATGTGACAGGCTACAAGGCAGAGTACTGTTGGTGAAAAAAAACTGTAAGGAAGCTTAGCAGTAAGGAGTCAAATGCAGTTATTAGGACTGTAAGATGCAGAGTTGGGATCCACTGAGCTTATTCCTGTGACAGAACTGTTTTTTTCAGGGATTGCAAGGTGATCATGTTCTCTAGAACAGTCAGGGGCAATTTCACTTGGACAGAAGACCATTTTTCAGATTTGCTAGCAGTCCTAGGGCTAGACTCCATGGTGGAGGGAGCGAGCCCCAAAATGCTAATCTACACATTTTATGTTGTTACTATTGTCATTATTTTATAAGATACCCAGTGTGGTGTAGTGAATAGAGTGGCAGACTGCAGGAGGCCTGGGTTCTGCTCTCTCCATGGCTGAGCCATGGAAGGACACCGGAGGTGTGGAAATGATAAAACCACACCTTAAATATCTCACTTACATTGAAAGCCCTATTAGAGTTGCTGTAAGTTGGTTCTGACTTGACAGCACGTAACAACATTACTTCGTAGAAGTTGCTAATGTAATTTTCCTAAAAGAAAAACAGATTTAATATAAAAAAGAGGGTTTTTTAACTTAAAAAAGCTCCCCTTTGCACTCTCTAGCAGCCATTTGTAATGTAAACATTTGGGGGGATATGGAGAGCTCCATGGGTGCTGGGGGGGCACTTGAAAACATGGAAAATTACCTCTCATGTCTATAAGAGCACAAGCAGACTTTCTGCACATTGAAAAATAATTAATTTGGAAGGGGGGGTTGGCTGCAAATGAGAATTTAAAAAATAATTATTCTGAAGAGTGACAGCAAAAAAGCACCACAGACTTTTATGTTGCTCACCCTGTTCTAAAAAGATTTTCAGGCGCAACCAACCAATCCGGTAACTGAATGACGGTTTGTTTTTGGTCCACATTATTATCCTGTGCCTAAAGCCTTCTGTGCTACTGACATTATTCTGTTTGTCATTGTTTGATCACATCAGTAGCAAAAAGATTACGTTTCTGTATGTTCCTCCTAAAGATTATGTAGTGATTATAACTGCCTAGTTTGTGATCAAGTCTAGCAACTGCATTCTGAGCTTCTGGGAATTTGAGTAGGGCATTGAGAACTCTGGGATAATTTCAGTACAGTAGTGAACCCAGTTTGGCAGACCTCCTACTTTGTAGTTTAATTAGGAAATATTGTTTGTCTAGTCCTGTTTAGGGACACTACAGGGGTCTTGTAAGAGAATTAGTTCTCTCTGTCCCCCATTTCAATCGCAATCAGTTTTTTGGTGTTTTTTTTAAAGATGGGATTTAAATATCTGAATATACCAAGCTGTGTAGAGATTTATTTAGGCCTAAAATATAATTACACTCACTATGTTTAACTGCTGTGTCAAAACATGCTCAAGATGTACTCCCCCCTCCCCGTCCTCCTATTTTCTGATACTTGAGAAGTTATGTAATGGGTATTGAGGAAACAGAAGGTGGCTTTAAGGCAAGGGAACAAATTGAGAACAAATTCAACAGGAAAGTCTTAAGAGTTCTAGTCAGAAGCAATTGCAGAAAACCTTGTGCTAGCTGAGTTGGCACTCCTTCCAGTCAAGGATTATTATTATACATTTTTCCTTACAAGGAAACAGATGTTTTTCTTCTGTCTTAACACATTTTCTTCTCTAGCTTCTTTTTTCAATCTCATTTACAAATCTCGTACGTTTTATATGGTTGTGTACAGCTGATAATGAAGTCAATAATAGTGACCTCCGGGCAACACAGTGGAAAAACTGGCCATTTCTAAGATTTCTTACTAGGTAGAAGTTGTTTAGCTCCACAGGAGCTCATGATTAGTGTCATCCAACTGTGTGTGTCTTGCAGAACCTTTAGAAGAAGATGCTTCCCTTACCGAAGCAAGCCAGGAAGACGTTCAAGCTTTGATTGTTGAAGAATCTTATGGTGAGGCAATTGAAGATGCTGAGAGGGAGCTGCCAAGAAGTGAAACAAAAACTTCAGTTACAAACTCTGAACCTGCTGTTCCAGTTGACCAAAGGGAAGAGCCTGTAACAGGAGAATAAGTGCCTCATTTGTTTTAAGCTATATACTTTCAATTGTTACTTCTTCAGATGGGTCGCTTTCAAAAGTTTATTGTGCCGTCATTCTCATGAGCTTGGACTGCCACTTCCACTGTACACAAGCTACCCGCACAATGAGGCATCGTATTGCTGAAGTGTTTGTTTGGGTGAAGTAAAAGCTCTTCAGCATTTGTAGGCGTCCAAGCACAGGTATTCTTATTTTTTGGTTTGCATACTTAAGAAAAATCATAGACATGCTTAACATTTTTCCCTCACAAGAGTGAATTAAAATATAGTATTTGGTTATTGAACAGCTGTAAATTATTCAAAATGTATAATTAATTCTTGGTTTAGTAAATGTTATAGATTTTTTTGTACTATTTAGCTATTGAAATAAATTGAATACATTTAAGTATTTAGATGTTTACAGGAGGAAAATGCTTAGGTATTTGCCATAAGCACTATGAAAGTGTCAGTATAACTGAAACCTAGCCACTCTTAACCTTTTTAATTTCCTCGAAAGAATGCCATTGAAGTCCTAAGGATGGTCTCTCCTTCAGGGCAGTGTGTATAGCAAATGGGCTGCAGGCATGCAAAAAGTAAAGCTAGTTTGTGTTTACATGAAGCGTAGGAATATCTGCACTAGATTGTACTTGAATACTGAGCATTATTTATACCTGTAAAATAATGACCATATAAGTGAATTTTTTTTGTTTATTTTGTTAAAGGAAAATAAATAAAGAATATGTAGCATTATGTGCTCATTTTGTGTGTTCTTACAATTGCTGTTGCAAAATAGGTTGCCTTTGACTTGGTCATTGTGTGACTCAGTTAATTACCTCAAGAGATTTGTGTCTGATTCCTTATCCATAGTAACTCAAGTATGAACTTACAGGATGAAATAAATAGAACAATTTGTTCCATTGCACTACACCCACCCGCACTGTTTTGGTGCCAGCTCCTTGAAGCGGGGGTCAACATAACAAACTTAGCCCAAAGCATGAAATCTGACTACCTTTGCATTAGCCCAAGAGCAAAGGTGGCCTCCTAAGTGTTGTTGGACTGCAGATTCCATCAGCCCTAGCCAGTATAGGCAGCTCAGAAAAAGGGGCAACATCTAAGGGGCCAAAAGTTCTCTATTTTTGTTGCAGGCAAACCTTAACATGATATCCTCCCCAGGGCCTGTTGGAGTTCCTGAGTCATAGAATTTAACCTGAGTGGTTAAAAGGTATGTTTCTCCATAGTACATGTTGTATCTACTCACACATTCGCTTCACTGTTTCATTGAGTCCCAAACAGTCCTTCAGTATATTTTGGCACAGAGGGACTACAGCCACATTTCAACTTTATTTGCTGCTGTCCTCTCCTAGCAACCATAGTACAGATCCACATGCATATCTTCTGGGATCCTCTAGAACTGGGTAATTCTACATGAGGGACACTTGTCAAAAAACAGCCATAAAAATTGCTGTGTGTTTTTGTGAGAAGTGGTTAACTGATGGAAAAGGAGTCGGGGATTTCCCATTGTTTGGAGAATAGTAATGAGCATTTTGCTGCTGTGCTCTCCTAGCAACCATAGTACAGATCCACATGCATATCTTCTGGGATCCTCTAGAACTGGGTAATTCTACATGAGGGACACTTGTCAAAAAACAGCCATAAAAATTGCTGTGTGTTTTTGTGAGAAGTGGTTAACTGATGGAAAAGGAGTCGGGGATTTCCCATTGTTTGGAGAATAGTAATGAGCACAAGAGGGGATCCTTTAAACCATTCATTTTCAACCTTTTTTGGCCATTGCCATAAACACAATATAAAATACAGGCCGGATCAAGATTGTATAAATCATGTAATAAACTTTATAAGTTGGTAAATGAACAATTATTTCCAGCCTGTAATGCCCTGCAAATGTTCCAGGGCCCCCTAGGGGACTATGTGGCTCCCATTGAGAATGGCTGCTCTAGACCAGCAGTTCTTAACCTTTACTAAATATCTTTTGTTGCCATGGGCCACCAAGCCTTAACTCAAGATTTAAAACGCTAAAGTGCATCAAATATTTATCATGAAGGGTCTTCAGATTTGGAGAAAAAGGAGAAATAAGTTAATCTGTTAATGTACACACTCCTACTATATTTTTATTGGAATGATTCCATACAGAATTTATAACCACCATCAGCATCACCCCTCTAAGGACACAGGCCTTGCTGATGTGGAGGGGTTTGTGTGGTTCAGTAAGGTTGAGAGCTATGCTGGCGGTAGTGTTGCTACCTGAAGGGTCTCCCAAGGCAGACAGGTCTCAGCTGAGAAACCAGACAAACTGTGTCCATAAGCCATCAATTATGATGAGAGGAAATAAACAGAAATCCATACTGGATCAGTTGTTGCTGGGGTCAACAAGGACCACATCAGATGCTATAGCCCCTGGACATATAATGATAAATGGGCTACAGGACCAGCATACCCTTTTGAGGAACCAGGACAGACTTCTGCAAAATGACTGGAACAACATAAATGCAAAACTTGGATCTGAAAATTGAGAAATTATGAAATGCTATTAGGAGGCAAAGCCAAAAGTCGATTTCAAAAACGAATGATGGAAATTTGGAAAAAGAAAGACCCAAATAGTGACATAACCAAACAACAATTAATGGACCAGAGAAGGTTTTCATCCAGAGTAAAGGGTTTCATAACTGGAATTGCAAGAACTAGAAAAGTTGGCAAAAGAAAAATTAGCACAGAACAATAACCATAGTACATAAGAGAAATGGAGGGTAGACGTAGATGCAATAATGGAAGAAAATGTATCAATGGAGTAACAACTTATGGAACAACCCAGAAATTATGAGTTGACAGAACTGCAGGAATCACTGAGGGGAAAAAGAGTAATCCACGTTAGCCAAAACACAGAAATACAAAGGCTCCCCATTTTGCGCTAATTACAAAGTAAAGCAGTAAAAGATCTACTGATACAGTAGATGCAAATGTAGTAATCCTGCTAAAGGAAATAAAACAAATTATGTGTAGCACAGCTACCATAATAATCATGTAACTTGGTTATAAGCTGCAAACCCCCCAGAAAACTCCTGGCACTACAAAATGGAAAATTCATCTGGAAAAAAAAATATGTGCAGACGTTAGCAACCTGAAAGATTCAAAACTTAAAAGTAAAAAAGTAAAAGCCTGACAATGCGAAATATATGATATAGAAAGGAAAACAATTGTTGAAATTATGGAAGAATGAAAACAATGGGTAACAGGCGCAGCAAAGAAAATTAGAAGATATGATGGACACTTGAAACAATATTGAGAAAACATGCAATTTTGAATTAACCAACGATTATTCTATAAACCACTAGGAGAAGTTAGTTAGTTAGGCATCCTTCAGTCTCGAAAGACTATGGTGATGTGCTCTGTATGGAGGACTTGGGACACCGTCTAGTGTGGCTGAAGAGGCCAATTTGTCAAATTCATGTTGGTAGCTTCAGTGACACTGTCCAGCCATCTCGTCCTCTGTCATCCCCTTCTCCTCTTGCCTTCACACTTTCCCAACTTCAGGGTCTTTTCCAAGGAATCTTCTCATGAGGTGGCCAAAGTATTGGAGCCTCAGCTTCAGGATCTGTCCTTCCAGTGAGCACTCAGGGTTGATTTCCTTCAAAATGGATAAGTTTGTTCTTTGCAGTCCAGGGGACTCTCAAGAGTCTCCTCCAGCACCACAATTCAAAAGCATCAATTCTTCGGTGGTCAGCCTTCTTTATGGTCCAGCTCTTCCATACCAATCTGCAAAAAACAGAAGTTCCATTTTGGTGGTGCCCTCTTAAAATGTGAAGACAGAGGTATTACAAAATGCTGCAAACATGCATATGCACTGGTCTCAAGAAGACTCACAACTTTTATTCTTTTGGCTAAAATCCTGTTGTATAGTTAATGTTTGCTGGCTATTACTGAGCACTCACTTGGTTTTTCAGGAGGAAAACCAAGTGAGTCGACCAGGCATTCAAGAGAAAGTTAGACAGCCATGTATCAGATCTGCTTTTATCTGCATTTCTGCATGGAGCATGGGGTTGGACTTGATGGCCTTCTAAGCCTCTTCCAAGTCCATTATTCTGTGATTCTTTGAGTCTATGATTCTACAGCCATATCTAATGTCCACTAAGAAACACTGCTGTTGGATGAAGTCAATGGAAATATCACTGAATGTTTCTACTGACATACTGAAAAGAAACTGTGCATTACTGTATCAAAAAAAGACCATGCACCAAACCACAAAGCTGAACATTTTAAGGGCAAATCTTACCAGACTCAGCTTAGGGCTGGCTTGAGGGCTGTGCATAATTGGATACTTATCACTCCCACAGAGCCTGAGAACCTCTTGGTTGTCACAGCCTGTTCATTGGTTCTATTAGA